GGCCCTCCTGCGGGCTGACCCCATGCCTGCCCCCCCCAGCCTCTGGGCTCCCACTGGACACCACTTATTGGCCTCGCTGGCCTCCACGCCAGCCCGTGGCCTCCGAGGCCGCCCTCTGCACCTGCGTGTCCTCCCACGCTGGTGCCGGCCGGGCCACCCCGGGCAGCTGGTCACCCTGGGCGCCCCACCCCCACCGGGGCCTGGGCCGGGGCAATGAAAGCAGCTCGGGGCTCCCCCGCGGAGGCCCCGCGGAGTTCACCGGTAGGGCGGGGGGCAGCCGCAGGAGGCTGCCCTCAGACCCTGGCTGGCCGGCGAGGGCCTCACCTCGCAGGGACCTCAGCCAGTCCACGTTGGACGCCTGCACCTCCTCGGGGTCGGTGACCACCCTGCCGGGGATGAGGTGCTCGAAGGCGGCCAGGTCTTCCGCAGACACCTCCGAGAAGGGCAGCCGCCGCACGGGGTATCGCTCCCGGGTCAGCGGCACCTGGGAGGCGCCCAGGGAGCTGCCCCTGCGGACCGGGGCGCCGGAGCCCCAAGGGCTGCCCAGCCCAGGGGTCCAGGATGCGGCCGCCCGTGTCCTCTGCTCCGCCAAGGCTCGGGGGCCGCAGGCGGCCCGCCGCCAGAAGAGCCACCCCGCCCGCCTGGGCAGCAGATGGGGCACCATTGCACCAGCCCTAAAAGGCAAGTGATCTGGGCTAGAATCTGGGGTGCTGCAGAGCCAAGAAGAGGTGCCCCCCCCCCCCGGGGAGCCTGCCCAGGTCAGCTCAGGAAACAACACACTTCCGTGGTGGGCGAGCAAGGCTGGGGGCGGGGGGGCCCACACCGGTCATGGCCTCCTCTCCCTCCTCCTCAGCCCCCCAAGTGTGGGCCCCAGGGGCAGCGGCAGTGCTGGGACAGTGTTTCCCTGGCCAGTCTTTCAGAGGGAGGGCGAGGACGATGGGGTGCAGACAGGGCCCGCACAGCAGCACTGGGGTGTGGGACCAAAGAGTGCACCTGAGTGGTGGGCGGACCGTTTGGAGTTGAAAGACCCGGGAGAGGGAAGATCCGAGGATGCGTCCAGGCCTGCTCGGGGTCTCCTACAACGGGCATGGGACAGGCGCCCTGTGGCCCGGCCGCACCATCAGGCTGGCCCAGCCACTGCGGCCAGCCTGCGGCCTGGGTGGGTGTCGGCCAGGGAGTGACCCACTTGTCCCCTGGGGCTCCCCTCAGTGGAGGTGCCTGTTCTGCTCCCCACTGTCTCTGGGGTATCTTCTCATCACCCCACCTCAGGCCTGCACTCCAATTCCTGTGTGCATGAATATATAAGTCTTATTAAAAAATCAGGGTGCGGCGACGGTCCTGGGTGCCCCGGCTAGGCCCCGTGGGCTGCCAGCTCTGCGCCCCCTGCCCGCTCCACCAGCCCGCCGAGAGCCCGACTGGCAGGACCCTGGCAGCGCTCCCCGGAGGGGCGCGACCTTGGAGGCCTGGG